CCCCAGCTTATTTCTGGTATCATGCATGCTGCGGCCCACTGGGCCTGATCCTGCAGCTTCTGCCAAAGTGGCTGCTGCCAGACTGGGTAAGCCCAGGCCCAGCCAGGCTTTTTTTCCCCTGCAGTCAGCAGCAGCTGTCACTCAAACTAATTGCTAGTATTCAGTGTAATTGTGTCTGGATTGGTAAAAATCACAGAGCACAGAGAAGCTGCTGCATCCTGACTTGAAAGCCAGCAGCCACCTGGCCCAGGTATCTTGGGAAGTTGCTTTTGTTCTTTTCTCTGGTATCCATGTGATTTCCTCCTGGCCCGCAGCTCCACTACCTTTCCTGAGTGAACCTAAAACCAGCATTTTACTCTTTCTCCTCTTGCAGATGTAGCCATCTCACTCTTAGGAACCCTTAGAAGTCTCATAGGCAATTATTTCCAGTCATCTCTTTCTTTGCTCCACAATACATTAACCACATTTCAAGCCGAGGATCTAGAATTTATCATAAAGGGTGTGTGAGCATTTTGGGTCATATTCTAACCTGAATTACAGGCAGATTTTCTGTACTTCTCACTGGCTAAAAGTAATAAAGCATTAAAAAAGCAATAAAGGCTTCGTGTGTGTGTGTGTGTTGTATGTACATGTGTGTGCATGTGTGGTTGTATGTTAATGTTCATGTACTTCTGCAGGTGTACATAATCGACAGCATGTGTTCTTCCTCATGAGCCATCCACCTTGGCTTTTAAATATATTTATTTATTTATTTTTATTTTGTACGTATGTTATACCTGAATGTATGCAAGTGCACTCCTGTCATTCAACACCCACGGAGGACAGAAGAGGGTGTCGGATCCCCAGAAACTGGAGTTACAGATGGTTGTTAGCCACCACATGGTGCTGGAATTCAAATCCAGGTCTTCTGCAAGAGCAGCCAGTGCTCTTAACCACTGAGCCATCTCTCCAGCCCCCCCACCTTAGTTTTTTAAGACAGGGATTCTCATTGGCCTGGGCCTGTCCTGATCAGTCTAGGCTGGCTGGCCAGTGAGCCCCAAGATTCCTCCCATTTCCACCTCCCGTCACTGGGATTACAAGTGTGCACTACTATGCCTAACTTTTGTATGAGAATTCTGGCACTCAAACTCAGATGGTCTTATTTGAGTGACAAACACTTTACTATCTGAGGTGTCTTCAGAGCCCCAAGATCTTTTCTCTCCCCCACTTTCTCTAATCACTGATTTTTATGTAAAATAATTTTGTATGTTTGCTGCAGTGGAGATGTTTTAAAACTTAAGTATGTAAAATTTCTCTTTTCTTTTTCTAAAATACAAAACCAAACCATAACAAGAAAATAATGAGAAAATTTAGCATATTAAATAAAAGTTAAAAAATAAAAATACTTTAAAATTGAAGTAGCTTTTGGCCTTTCCCAAGTTGCTGGCTTTGGAGAACAAAGAGATAACAAGATTTGAATGGAGAAGAACCTTAGTTTTTAAGAAAAAAAGTTTAAAATATCAAATATATCTAAAAGTAATTGCCAATGATGGGGAAACAAGTGACTGAACATTAAGACTTTAAAAAAAATAATCACTAGCTGGGTATGGTGGTGCATGGCAGTAATTCCAGCATTCAGGAATTTGGAAGTAAGCACGAGGTAAGGGGACCCTGCGTTTGCTGCCGCCTGGACTGTAACAGCAAAAGAAGTCACTGGATTGAATAGACTTGTTTTCAGTGGACCATTTCCTGTTGCTCCATTGTTATTGTGAAACTGCTGTTAGAGCTTCCTTTGTTCTGAGACGTGTCTTCATGGATACTTGAAGTTTCTTGTTACAGACACGCAAATACGCTTGTGCTCAGAATCTGAGCAGTCGTGGAGAACGGCAAGTTCTCGTTGCCAATCCACAGAGAGCAGTTGCTGTCTGCATTTCATTTGACTTGACAGCATCAACCTCTGCCTCCCCAACATGCCTTGCTTTACTTTGTAAACTTAATTTGCCTATGAGCCAGGAAGTGCATAGGCAAAGTATGTGAAAATTCATCACAACTCATAGGCCTTGGTGAACTTTTAGATATGAGAATACCTTTGTAATCATCCGTCAGACTGAGACTCAGACATGTCCAGCCTTTCAGTTGATTTTCTTATGCACCCTCAGCGGTAACAATGGTTTATCACATTATTGGTTGAATCTGCCCGATTCTCGAGGAAGTACATAGGATTATACAGTACATGCCTTTTGTGACAGATTTCTTTCGCTTAGGGTATTTGAGTTAATTCACTTACTCCTATTTCATAGTCGTTTGTCTTGTTTCATGAGGTCCACATGTGCTTTGTTTCCCTTAGAACATTCTAAAGGAATATTTTGTTTCCTTGGGTCA